TCGATGTGAAATGGCGTATTTTTAAATGCCGCTGATGAGGAAGCATTGAAGTGTTCAACCGTTCAATCTTTCACAGGAACCAGGACTATGAAAAGTGCTTGGAGGTTTGAAGCTTTCACGACACCTAACAATGTGTGGGAGAATTTTTTTCATAAGAGAAAACAAGAAGAAGGGGACTTTGATTGTTTCATACTGACCTAAAAAACTGTAAAATCTGCATTTGGTGAGGCAGAGTGATCTGTCAACGATCGCATTGTCCTTGGGATCGATGCCAGTTACAGTAGAGGATGCTGTGAGAAATAATCTGAGTTTGGAAAAAGCAATTGAATTAGGGAAAGCTGATTGGCAAAGCTCGTGCTGAAACGTTAAGACAAACGAACAGCGTACTAGAAATGAAGGCACATCGACTGGAGGAGCCAATGCAGCCTTAGCAGTGAGGAAGCGCAGAGGATGAGTAGACACTTCAAAACTGATATCTTTATGAAAAAATGCAACAGACATCACGTAATGACGTGTCCGGCATGTGGGAAAAAATGCTTTATTGTGGCAAACTAAATCACTTTTTACTATTGCATACTGAAGCACATCCAATTTTCTCAGTATATAACACAGATGTATTAGGGATCTGATATAAATTCTTCATGAATTCCATAATGTTAACTAAGTGTTCTCAACATCATCAAAAGACTGGACTAAACTTTAATTTTGAGGGACAACTGGTGATTTTTTTAAGTGGACACAGGGTCTGAGTGAAGTTTTGCCTGTAAAAACTTACGAAACCTGATGCAAGAACTCTAATCTTATTTTAAAGAAGTGTAATCAGGGTTGCCACGCTACCTGGAAACCGGGAGCACCGGGAAAGTCAGGGAATTCGAAAATTGACCAAAAAATTCAGGGAAAAAGTCAGGGGAATTTAAGTATTTTGTCAAAATCTGGAAAAGTCAGGGAAGTTCATACAATGATCCCGCCAAAAAAAGCGATTTTTGCGCCGACGTCGGAGAGATAACTTTTTTGGCGAATTTGCTTATCACGTGAGTGTCGGGCTGGCATAGAGCCCAATTTTTCGCAGCTCCAATTTGATTGCCTTTTAGAAAGGCAAAGCAAGTTTCCCGCAACTTTTGGTTTCCATCCAGTATTCTCGAGAATCGCATGTGCAGTGCATGAACTAAAGAAAGTACCTGTTCTCGTATAAAACAAAATGGGTTTAATCTTAGTGTACGGTACCATGGAGGTTAGAATTAAAGAATATGTATTGTAAAGAAGGAAAACCTCTCTGCAACAGACGTGGCTCCGTTCCATCATAGAGGGAAACAGCTGTGCATGCGTGATATATCTGCCGCCAAAGCTGGAAACCGGTGTCGAAGTTCGAAGGTCACGTTATCTAGAGTTCATTAAATGAATATCCTTTAAAATTTCTTTAACCACTTGCGCTAAAAAGACCGTTCCACGCACGTCGAGATGCTTTTGTCTCAAACTGCTGCGAGCGACGTGAACACCACGTCGATAAGCATTTATCGCAAAAATGAAAATAACATGGTGCACACGTCCTAACAACGAGATTGTTTATTTCTCGAGTTACAGCTCTGGATTGCACTCGCAGATGCGGAGCGGCGTAAATGAGACCCACTTTACCACTTGCTATATTGTAGCGCACGGCACCGCAAACCGTGAAGTTTAGTCTTAGCGCAAGTAGTTAAACTCTAAATTAAAAGAAAATTTTTTTTGGTGCAAGTAAATTAATTCATGGGTTAGTAATTTTCAGGGGGGGGGGGAACTACGAAAATCCGTTTTTAAAATTATTGCGAAAAATCCAAGAAAACGTCCTTTGATAAAACGTTTTTTCTTGGATTTTTCGCAATAATTTAAAAACGGATTTTCGTAGCTTTCTTTTTGTCAAAGAACGTTTCTTCTTAACAACAGTTTCTCAATTTCCGGTACACATCGCGGAAGAGGGAAATTCTGGCCGCCAGTTCCGTCGCCAAATCCCTTGGCAAATTTTTCCCTCCGCATTCTAGCGGCGTAATAGCATTTTATTTGTATGGAAAATTTTCTTCTTTACATAGACCAAAGAATTAGAGATTCTTTGCATAGATGTTTTTTGGTTAAAATAATCTCCATGTATGGATTTGGCGACATGATGATGCGCAGTAAACGGGTCATTTGGGTCTTGGCGACAATTTTCAAAATCGTGCCAAAGCCTTACGGTATACTAGAATTTTACCGCAAAATCTTCTTAAACTTTTCTTTTTAATAACTACCTTGCCATTTTGCAGTAAAATAAAAAAATAGTAATCTGTCATCTAGGCTAACCATGTAATATAACTATATTCGCTAAAATATCGTTGATTATTCTAATTCAATTTTTAAGTAATTATCTTTATTTTTATGTTATTCGTATAATTTAATGATGCTTCTTCCCTCTAAATTTATTATTATTAGTAAAATAATATTTCAAATTTCAGGAAATTTTCTCTGGCATAATCTTGAAATTAATTCTAGCAGTATGATGACATAACCATCACGAAATTTAATGCACATATTTTTTTCTTATGTATGCTTCGAAATAAATATAAAAACCTCAATTTATTAAAATAGATTTCTTTCTTTCGTTTAGCTGCAGAATGTCTGCAAAAAAAGCCTTATTTTATTCCAGATTGGGAAGATTCTAATTTCAATCTTCAATGGAGAAAACAAAAACTATTATAATTATATTTGTGTTTTCAAGTGTTAGGTGCTTTTTAAGAACATACCTCACATAAATTAAATTTACCTAAAATCTAACCTAACTATTTAGCATTGCGTTGTGATTTATAAGGACTGGATTAGCCTCATGTTGAACTGATGGTGATCATGAGTAATAATTAAATAAAACATACATTTGTTATCCAATGTATATATCTTAAATTTTATTAAGTTTCTTAAGTGGAAAAGTAAACAAAATTATCAAACGAAGTATACCAAGAATAATTAAGAATGAATGTCCTCTGGGATTTATTGAATAATTAAGTGAATTTGCTACACAATACAAGTAATACCATAATTTACCTCTTAGCGTAGCCAACGTACATTACGTGGATAGAGTGGAATTTTCTTGAAACGCACCTGGAAAAGTCAGGGAATTTCATTCTCCTGTTTGAGTGGCAACCCTGTGTAATGTTGTATTAGAAGCATTTAGCGGGTCCAAGGTTAAACCTGATGGGTCATTAATGTTACAATGTTCCTCAGATGGTGTGGATCGTACTCTAAAGATTTTAATTTTTTCTAGCAAGCATATACGTCCATTATTAGGAATTGATGCATGTGTTAAACTTAATTTAATTCAGTTTATAAATAAGGTTGGAATATCAATTAAAGGTAAGTTGGATCAGTATACAATTGTTTTACCTCCATGTAAAGATCAATTTATTATTAATAATTCAGAAGTGTTTGAAGGTGTGGGGAAATTTAGTGGATTGTGTAAAATCATTGTTGATGATCAGATAGCTCCTGTAGTAAGACCACCATGTAGAGTACCACTTAGTTTAAAACCTAAACTTGAATTAAATTAAGCGAATTAGAGAGACAGGCATTATTGCAAAAGTTGATCAACCTTTGAACTGGGTTAGCAATCTAGTAATAATTGAAAAAGATAATGGATCTTTAGAATATGCCTTGATCCTCAAGATCTTAACAAAGCTATAAAAAAAGAACATGTTTTGATTCCAAGAATTGAGGAGATTTTACCAAAGCTATGTAATAAATCAATTTACTCTGTTTTGGACTTAAAGGATGGGTTTTTTCAAATAGCGTTAGATGGAAATAGTAGTGATTTTTTTACTTTTAGCACACCGTTTGGATGCTATAAATTCTTAGGCTTCCAATGGGTATTTCCTGTACACCTGAAATTTTTCAGAAACGCAATCTTGAAAACTTCGGTGTATTGGTCTATTTTGATGACATCCTCATTGCTGCTAGCACTATACAAGAACATGATAAAATTTTAACAGAGGTCATCAACAGAGCTAAAAAACTCAATATTAAATTCAACAAGCAAAAACTTCAATATAGGGTTAGTGAGGTTAAATATTTAGGTAATTTATTTAATGCGTCAGGCATGCGTCCTGATCCTGATCGAATTAAAGCCATTACTGAGTTACAGGAACCTCAGAATAAGCATGATTTACAGCATGCTTTGGGAATGTGTAATTATTTGAGGAAATTTGTACCACATTTTTCAGAGGAAACAGCCATATTAAAGAAACTTTTGAAAAACAAAGAAGAATGGCAGTGGTTACAGCTACATTCTAAAGCATTCAAGGAATAAAAAAATTAATTTCCAATGCACCTGTGTTAGGAATGTTTGACAGCAGTAAACCTATAACTATACAGGCAGATAGTTCTAAAAGTTGGGTTAGGCTGCTGCTTATTGTAGAATGGGCAACCAATTGCTTTTTCGTCTCGGGGTTTAAATAATGCAGAAAAAAACTATGCTCAGATTGAGAAAGAATTTCTTAGTATTTTATTTGCTGCTAATAAAGCTAGTATTTTACTATTTTATTTGCTGCTAATAGCTCACTGTGGGATTGAAAAATCAATAGCTAAGGCTTGACAAGTACTATTTTGGCCAGGAATCAACAGTGACATTGAGAATATGATTTCTAAATGCCTAATTTGTGATTTGTTCAGGCCTCAAACAGTAAAAGAACCTCTTGTTTCTCATAAAATTCCCAGTTTACCTTATGAAAAGGTTGGTGCTGATATCTGTGAATATGCGGGGGAAAAGGTTATCTAGTAATAGGCTGTTATACTTAACTAAATCGGTAGACGTAATTCCTCTAAAGAAATAAAAGTGCAGTGGAAGTTACTAGTAAATTGAAATCGATATTTACAACACATGGAATACCCAAAACTTTAATTTGTGATAATGTACCATTTAATAGTTGGAAAATGAAGAGTTTTGCAAGGGATTGTGGATTTGAAATAATCACTAGCAGTCCAGTCCTCGATATTCCTAAATCCTAATGGATTTGCAGAGAAGGTTGGTAGGTATAGCTAAGAGTTTATTTAGAAAAGCAGGATTAGAGAAATTAAATGAGGCTTTACTGGAATATAGAAATACTCCAATTTCAGGTATAAATTTATCACCAAGTCAAATGCTATTAAGTAGGAATTTAAGAACACGATTACCAATTACACAAACAGAATTGAAACCAACTGTAAAAGATCAATATAGAGAAAAGGTGAGGAGTAAGCAGAAACAGGCTAAAATCTATTATAAGAATGCAAGGGAAAGACCTGAATTTATTCCTGTGGAAAAGGTAATGTTGAGATGGGAAAATAAATGGAGCCTGCTATAGTTTTAAAAAAGCATTCAACTCCTAGATCATATTGGATTAGAACAAAAGATAATAGGGTAATTAGACGGAATAAATTTCATTTAAGAAAAACTAAAAATCAGAATTTAGTGACATTAGACTATTATGATCTATGTAATGAGAATGAGGAAAATATAAGTAGTGAACATCCAAAAATACACAGTGATCCTCACCATCAAAATAATAGCAATAATATTAATCGTGATTGTGTATATAAAACAAGAAGTGGTCGTAATGTATATCAACCATTCCAAATATGATAATTATGTAATGCATTGATTCCTATGACTCTTCCCAAAAGAAGGGGAGATGTTACATATATGTGGCAACACACTAGTTGCTTGTTCAAACTGAAGTGAAGTAATCGCCAGTTGATGTTGGTTGTGTAATAAACAATGTGCTATGTGAAAGTGTTGTAATGAACTCAATTATAGATCAATAAATATTAATATGATTAAAACAATTATTTCCTTGTTTTTCCAACCACAGACATTTTTGAATTTAATTTTCTTTAAGACAGCTAAATATTGGCCTTAAAAATTCTACTGTTTGTTATTGCAATTTATGATGATAATGTAAAACATTTAGTGAATGGAATTAGTCTTGTGCTCAGATATTGTAGTAATTCAGTAAATATCTTCATTCAAAGTTTGTCAGTAATTAAATATAATCATCACATTAAAAAAAATAATTTTCAAATACTGCTGTTGACCCATATTTCAAATACTTCTACACACCTGAAACTTCTTAAAATTGATTTAATACGCTTCAACATAAAATAATAATATTCATTACTCTGTTTTAGTATAGATCTACTGTAATTCCATTTCTGATAATGCCATCTTAAATCAGTGTCTTAAATTGAGAAAATTAACAATGAGTATATATGGGAAAAAAGTATATGCTCTTCCTGTATTGACTTAAACAAAGGCCATATTTCTCAAATTAAATGTGCATTAAGCTACAATTTAGTCTTCTGATTTGTACATATCAAAACATTGTTTCTTCCATTATTTTATAGTCATTTTATTAATTTTCAAATATTTAATGTTACCCTGAATTAAGAATGAAACCTTTTTATATTTCTCTGCATGAAAATTCTAGTGTGTGGATTTTTATTTTTATCACTTGTTTTATGTTTCCATTATATACTGTTTAATAATTTATCAGTTAAAATTGTTTTGCTAATCAAATTGTGTTGTATTCAAATAATTTCTGAATAAATAGAGAAAAAAATTTTGCAATGGTAGAAACGTACGTCAAAAGAAAGTTTAAAGATATTTTAATAATTTGCTCTAAAATGATCTTGTGGTACAGGTTCAAGTCCAGCATTTTTTGTGCTCTAGCTGATTAGTACAGTTGTTGCATTAAACATGTTAATATTTCATGGTATAATTTATCTTTATTAAGCTAACTAAAATATATATTTTTAACATTTGTAATCTTTTATAAATCTATGTGCGTTTTATAAAATGTAGTACAGTAGTTTCATAAAATTTCCTCTCAAATTTCAAAGCTACCAATACCAGAACTTTCAAAAAAAATCTCAGGTTGACCCATATTTTAGTACAAGTACCTTGCGAATTGTGTGAATGTAAGAAATAACTTCTTTTGAAACAGGAGTGATATCCTGTAAGTTGAATGAGTTTATGCTCATCTCTGATGTTTGTATCATATTGATAGGTGCTTTTTGTGTTCTCAGTTCTCATTTGTGTTAAACAATGTTGTAAGTTTTCACATTTTCCAACTAATTGCACCAATTTAAATTTTCAAACTCATTAGCATATTCTCATTATATTGAGTTGCTGATCATTGCTTTGGTAAAGAAATTGTTTATTAATGAAAAAAAAATTAACTGCTTTTTTAAATCTATTCAATCTTTATTAGAATATCCATAATTGTGTATTCGTTTCTCTGAATTCTAATGATTTTGAATATATGTTCAAATTTAATGTTTTTTCAAATCTTGAGCATTAAACATAGCAGACCTTATTTAGTCCACTCACACTATAATGAGTCAAGAACTTTTCTTTATCTTGTAAAATGTGGCTTCATTCTAAGATTTCATATATGGATGTTCATAGCTCATTCCATGGCTCTTGCAAAAAATGACACTGTGCACTATTTTGTTGTTCCACCCCTGTTGCTCTGCTAGGACATCATTGTTGTTAAGAACAACAAAGCCACTGCTGTATGAAAATCACTACCCTAGGCGGTTGCCTGATGTGGTGAACAAATTAATCATCATTAAAAATATTCCCATATATTTTCCAAGAAAATTACACAGATATGTTTTTATATAAATTATTTATTAGGGTATTTTAATATTAATATTTTTATAAGTTATCATACATTCAAATAAAAATATATTGAAACTTGTCATGGAAACTACCTCCTGTAGATAACCACATCTGACAGTAATTCTAAAAAAATAAATAAACATTGATATTAAAAATTACTGATCGCTATATTCTGTAAAGCAGCTATCTCGGCAGAAGACAAAAATTATCTGGAAATATGGCTGGTCATTTTGGAAAAATTTAACTGTGATTCAATTTTATATTTTTTTCTTGAATTATTCTTATTATGATATATATTCAGTACATTTGAACAGAGGTTACATAGATAATAAGCTACATGTGATTGAATTTATATTTTTAACAAAATGATTTATTTATATTCTTAATTTTGAATGTAGTACAGAGTGTAATCCGGACCTCAAAGCTACAAACTTTATGTGCATGCATAAACACATAATGCGTTTATGCATGCGCGTTTAATGTATAATGGACGGTATAAGCTAGGCTAAAATTATCTAAGGCATTTCAGTTAATGTTGCAGATTGCGCTGTTCCTTAATCTTCTAATTTAATCTGGCTTATTATTTTTTGCAGACTGTTAGAACAATTTTATAAAAGTAAGCTTGAACTTTCGATTATGTCAAAAGAAGTTTTCCAATTCTGAGCAGCCAAGGATCTACAAAGCGAAAGCATTTCGATGTCCATTAACAAAAGTGGAATTGCTGCAAAAATGGATAAAGGTCTATCCGTCTCAAAATATGCGAGAAATATGGCATTGGAAAGTCCACTGTATATGACACAAGAAAAAGGAACTTTTTGAATTTTTTGTGGAAGCATCTTAAGCAGCTTACATTGAAAGAAATGTTTTAATAAAGTAAACAATAAATATTAAACTTTTTTTTTTTTTGTAATTTTGATACCCTTAATCATAATTTTTCTTTTTTCTTTATTTCATAAATACGATTTCATATTTTTAATTGTATAATATATAATACCTATAATCTGGAAAAACCTCTAATCCGGAATCGCCCGACGAGTCCAGATTACGGACTTTGTACTGTATGTGGTATCAGTCATTATTTTAAAGTTTTCCATTTTGCTTGATCATTAAAAAAATTTTATATGCTATACATGCAATATTTTCTGAGGAATTATTATCATAAAGAATGTGCTTATGCAAAAATTTTTCTAAGGATCTGCAAATATTATTTTTATATTTTGCATAAAAGTTTATGGAGATATAAAATTCTTTTTTGATTCTTTTATTATATATTTTCAAAATGTAATGTCCCGATGTTGTGAAATATTTTATAATCTGGAATTACGAAATACTTTATATTTTGTTATTACTTAAATTTTGTGTTTCTTGCTAAGAGTCATGTTTCATTTAACATTCTGAAGTTTTTCATATCTATATTATTATTCACAAATATCTTTTATTAGATACAACGGATTTTCGCCAGATGGAACAAGGTTTGCTACAACTTCTTGAAGATTTTCATTCAGGAAAACTAGAGGCTTTTGGTAAGACTAAATTTATTTCTTTTATTTGAAAATTTAAGTCTATTTATGTCATAATTATGCATGTCTAAAACTTTAAGCATCTAACTTCTGTTAAAGTGCTTATTTATTGCCATTGTGTGAAAATTTTTACTGGTTAATGCCTTTTATATGATGTCCGTATGCTCCTGAAAATTTTCCAAAGAATGTAGAACCTAAAGAAATTATTTTTGGTCCTTAAAAGTCCTTAATTTTGGCCAAAATTGGCATAAGACCCTAATTTTACTCATCTGACATTTCTATTTTTTATGACTGGCATGTCTTAATATTTTGAAGGAATATTTTTTGGAAATGAATTGACAACATTTTAATTCTTTGCTGCTACTTAATATAAAGTTGAGTTTTAGGCATGAGGCCCTGCCTCAGTTGAAACATAAACATTTCAGAATTAATTATTTTTTACAAATGAAGAGTTCATGAAATATTACATAAAAAAGTTTCCCCTTTTTGAAATAAGAGTTTTTTTATCATGCAATGCTAAATTTTTTGACATTGGTAAATTCAAAGTCAGTTTGCGTACAAAATTTTTTTATTTGGAAGTTTGTGAATTTTTTAAAAATTGTTTTACAAATAGAATAACATAGATAAATGTCATAAAATAATGATATATTAAAATCATATTTAATAAATAATGTTAAAATTAAACATTTTTATTTTCTCCAGCTGTATTTTAAAGTGGCATTACTTTCCTTTTTTGTGACTTAATATTTTGGTACTGAAAGATAAATAAAATAATGCATAAGCTGCTTTTTTTTTTTTAACAAGTCTACAAATTCACTGTTATTTTCATATTTTTCTTTTTTTCATTTTTTTAAAATTTTATTTTGAAAGAAAATTATTTTGAGAACTGTAGAATCAGGTTTATGTATATTGTTGATATATACATTAACATGGTTCTACAATTTATTCTATAGTCCGGTTCATTTTCAACTGGTTGAGAGAAATAACATATGTTGAATGGGAAAAAGAGCAGTTCTATCTGACCAACAAAGCACTAATATATTGAGACTGTCACCTGTGAGAAGTTTGTACATATAGCATTCAAAATAGAGCTTAACATTAAATTTGGAAAGAAAATGATTTCATACGAAACAAATATTAGAAATTGTTGAAAGCCTTTTTACAATGTACAGAAGTGAAGTGAGCTGTAAAGTTCTACAGCAGTGGCTACTTGGAGGATTCTGCAGGGAGAGTGACAAAGATTTTGATGTTAGAGTTACGAGTAAACTTGTTGTGTGTGGCTCAGAATTCTGCAGGAATAATTGGTGAAACTTCAGGGGAATCTCTGGCAGCATTCATGGTTCAATTGTAACCATTTTTCATGGTTGACAGGATGATATGTGAAAGAACTGAGTTTTGGCAATGGCTATTTTCCTAATTATAATTTTTTTTTTTTTTTTTTTTTTTTGTTCTGATGGAAAAGGTGAATATATAAGTAGCTAGTATTAATCTTAGAAGAAATTTTCTGCTGAAATATATGTTGTATAAAGGAAGTATAATAGTAAATAATTATCTAAGATTGATATTTTAATTTAGATGAAAGGTTAATTTCTTATAATACTTTTTTATATTATAATTTTATATATAAAAGGCTAACCATGACTGAATTGAAGCATAAGAGTAAATAACTATTTCAGATTATTATAATTTATATAAAATTGCTAAACATAACTGAATGGATGCCTGCATCACTATTTCGCTACCAAGTTATCACTAAAGCATGATTTCATCTCATTGGTTGTTCAAACATAATTTTCTATAATGAATGATGCCTTTTCATTGAAAAAATTCTTGGTAAAGTGCAGAATCGTCCACTTATTTGTTTGCCTCTTTTTACAAGCGTAACAATTGGATTTTTGTCAATTTTCTTTTACTTTTTAAGTGAAAATAGGTCGATGTGTAAATTTCAGAATTCAGAATTAATTATTCTTTACAAATAATTAATTACATAGATAAAGTCAAGGGTGTGAACAGTGCCATTTTTGTGCAATTCTGGGAATTTTTTTTTTTTTTTTTTTTTTTTTGAGGGAAAATAGGTTGATGTGTACATAGATAAAGTCAAGGATGTGCGCAGTGCCATTTTTGTGCAATTCTAGGATTTTTTTTTAAAGTGAAAATAGGTCGATGTGTACATGGATACCGAGTATGTGCAGTTCTTAAAAACACGTCAAGTAGTGGGTGATTCTGCACTTTACCCAAAATTCTATTGCAGACTTTTTGTCATGGGCAGTTCCCAAACTGTTAAATCCATAGGATATCAAAAAAGGATTTAAAAATTAAACTAGTATGTCAATGGCGGCTTAAGAAATATAGAACTATATAAACTTACACAAATCTAGCGCATGCGCTGATTTCAGAAATGAGTGCATACACTAGATTTGGCGGGCTGTTAAATGGGTGCATTTGCTAGATTTGGCGCTTTTGTGCATACAATTTCACTGCAATTTTTTTATGGTCCTCAAAACGGAATAGTACCTTATTCTTTTTACACATTTTTTTCCCTTCTTCTATTTTATTCAGATCTGTATGATTAGATTTATTTAATATTAATAATTTTTTATGTTTATCAAAATATGTACTTTTGCTGTGTTTTTATTCTGCATATAAGAACACTTTCAGTGTGCAAATAAAAGGTTTTTTTTTTATTATTATTTTTTTAATTAGATTAATTGATGGTTTAAATATTTCAATGAGTTACTCAATATTAAAATGACTAAAATTGAGCCCCTAAATGATATGGATATAGATTATATCAAGAACTTTTCCCATGTAGTGAATGAAACAGATAAAAGGTAAGACAAAATGCACCTGATTTTGTACTGCTATATTTAGTGGTTTCAAACCTTATTTACGAACAGTTTTAGAGTATTAAAAAAAAGCAGATATTAAAAACAAGAAAGAGAATGAATTTCAGAGAGATAAATTCAACACCGCTTTTACTTAAGATAACAGTTATTTCATTTGTTTCTTACTTCAGCCCTTTATAATGTAAACATAAAAAAAAATTTTCTATTTGTGAGCAAATTGATAACAAAGATTCGAAGACAGCATTTTAAAAACTCCTCAAATTCAATAGAAAAATTCATGTGAAAGGAGCAGTAAGCATAAATAATGCTTTTACAAACAAAATAGTCTTTAGGTGGCACCATTTAGTATAAAACTGATTAACAAACTAACAAAATCTGGTAGATCAATCAGTTAGGACAATACCAATCATAAGTTTTTCTAAAAATTAAAAATTTGATGGAACCAAGCTTCCAGTGGACTGTAGCAGAATTTTATCTCTGAAGTTACCTTTGATAGAACATATTTATACTTTGATAGAACATATATTTTTAAAATTATTAATGATGTTACAGCAGTTGAGCTACTTTTATAATGCTTGTCAATGGCATTGGTAAATGTTATACAGAGTGTTTCATAGATCATGGGACAAACTTGGAGGGATGGTGGAGCATACTAAAACATGCATTTTTTTATAGGAATGTAGGGTCTAAAGTGACGGTTAACCCGTCAAACATCGGCCCGGAAATGTCCCATCTAACTAATTGCGGACTCGCTCATGGTTATGGGATGGTGCACCATCATGCTGGAACCACATGCGATCATGAACGACAGCCGGAACATCCTGTAGCAATTCCGGTAGCACCTCTTGCTGAAAAGTGTCATAACATTAGCCGTTTGTACATGCAGGTAAGAGGTATGGGCCTAGAGGTATGAGGTAGTCGCTAACAATACCCACCCACACATTCACAGAGAAGCGGGTTTGGAATGCATGTGGATGTGTGCCGTGTGGATTATGAGTTGCCCACATGTGCATATTGTGGCTATTGAAGATGCCGGCCTGTGAGAAAGTTGCCTCGTCAATGAATAGCACGTCTGGTGGGAAATCCGCCTGTGCCGCACACTACTGCAAGAACCAATGACAGAAATGAACTCTAAGAGGGTAATCTGTCTCTTGCAAGCTTGGACCTCCATGTAGGGGCAACTTTTTCAGATCTCTCCATGTGGATATCAGTCGATGACTGCAAAGCTCTTGACTTGTTAGGTATCTTTAAACCTGCCAACTTTTACGAATTTTTCGTAATTTTTACGAAAATGCGTTTGTCTTTACGATTTTACGATCGTAATCCTTTTTTTTTACGATTTTTTTTTTTTTTTTTTTTTCCTTTTTCAAGTGTTTTTAGTGATTTTTGTCGAAATTTTAGAATTTTTCGCCAACCAATTCAGCGATTTTGCCAATTGCATCGTGTTTTTTACCGCCAACTACCGACTACTTCGAATCCAGTAACCTGCGGTTTCTCCCAACTCGCCGCTTAACCAGCCAATCCAATGCGCTGAACTTGTTTCTCCCACTCTTTTCTTTGTGGGCGCCAGATTATTTTTTTCGCGTTCGCTTCAGCAGCAAGGGAATTACTCAGCTTGGATTGTCGCATTCTTTTTTTTTTTTTTTTTTTTTTTTTTTTTTTTTTTTTGCACGTGCTACGAATTTTCTTAATACGTCGTTGTTACGAAATGAGTTCAAAAAAACCGTATTCTCAATATTTTTCGGCCTGCCTACAAAGCCGAATTTCCAACAATTAAAGAATCCTTCAAAGGAAATAACTATGCATTTTGCAACGTGTGCGTGTGTGACTTCATAATAAGTCACGGTGGAAGAAGCGACATTGTGAAGCATGTTAAGTCTAAAAAGCATGAAGTTAATGCTTCGGCTTCGACAACGTCAAAGAAAGTGGATTTTTTTTTTTTTTTTTGTTTTTTTTTTTTTTTTTTTTTTTTTTTTTTTTTTTTTTTTTTTTTTTTTTGTTTTTTTTTTTTTTTTTTTTTTTTTTTTTTTTTTTTTTTTTTTTTTTTTTTTTTTTTTTTTTTTTTTTTCAAAACGAATTGATGCCGAATTTGGCAGAAACACAGTTGAAGACTTGCCAGTTGGAGAAGATAGTGTCCTCGTTGGTACTTAAAAAGAATAAAAAGCTGATGGAACACCAAATATGATAGACTAGCAAGAGTTTTATGTGCTATTCTCGTAATTCGACACAGTAATGCTGAGTGCGAGAGAGTCTTCAGGGTTGTGAAGAAAAACAAAACTATTTTTCGTTCTTCAATTTCACCAAAAACTCTAGAAATCATTTTAATTGCTAAATGTTATGACAAACTAATTGTTATGACAGGAAATTTTCCAAAGAATTTTTGGCTAAAGCCAAAAAGTGCACTCTAAATTCATTGCAATAATTTTTTTGTGTAGCATTAAGTTTTTGTTTTATGTTTCCTAATAAATTTTAGTTACTACTACTTAATTGAGATTTACTAATGTAAGTACAATTTTCTTTTTTCTATTTGTATAAATTATTTTTTTAATATCAAAGCATGATATTAATTCTTCATGTTCTTCAGAATTTTGAAGAAATCTTCTGAATTTGTTGGAGAAATCTTCTGATTTTTTATCTTTAGAGGTTGGCAAGTATGACAATGTTCAAGATGGAGTCTTCAATGCAAGGTTGTCGTGCACTTCTTCTTCCACTCCTAGTGTCAAAGGTGGTTTCAAATTACCCGTTTTCACACAGAGACCGATGCAACCTCTTGAACATTGTGTGATTCGGCATACGCCTGTTCGGAAACCGTTCCTAGTACAATCATAGCACTGCTCTGCCATTCCCAATAGCAGCACCATATATGAGATGCATGTCTGCTTTTTCCCCGTGCGTAAACTAATTCATCGCGCTCGACATCAGAGCTGCGAATTATCTTCTGATGCATCGGATCGTGGTTTGTTCGTCTTACTACTGCCCTCTACCACTGCATTGTCAGCCAATCACAGCTGTAGTTCCTATTACTGTTAGTGTTCCCTTTTTGAACATTTGTTGTGAATACTGTAATGCTGCAAAGAAGCACTTTGCATTGATTTTGTACATAAACACATTTTCCTCTCGTGTCGTTTTTTTGCGTTCCTGCCTTAACCCGTCACTTTAGACCCTACATTCCTATACAAAAAAATGCATGTTTTAGTACGCTCCACCATCCAAGTTTGTCCCATGATCTATGAAACATCCTGTATATAATTTTGCCTATATATATATAACATGTAAATAATTATAGTTTTATCAAATGTTAAGCTCATTGTTAATAATAGGTTTATATAAATCAAAACGAATGAAAGATTAATTTTGTTGTTATTTTATTATTACTGTGAATCATAATTTAGGAAACTCTGAATACTGAAGAGAGCATTATTATTAGTATTTTCATTGTTTGCAGTATTCATATTATTAAAATAATTTAATTGTTCTAGTGCAACATTAGTATTTTTTGATCACTATGAAATGAATGTAGTCTAGTATATAAAATAGAATGTTAAAAAAATAAATAAATCTGAATGCTTTCAGATTTTACATTACGCTCAAAGGGGCCTTTTTTTAAACGTTTTATATGTTACCTTTATTTATTAAATACGGTACAAAGTCCGAAATCCGGCCGTCCATTAAAACAAGTTTTCTAAATATATGAATATGTAGAAGGTATAACGTTATCATTTTCCAGCATGCAGTTAATCATAACTTATTGTATTATTTTATCTGAATTTAATGTTTTTAAAAACTGTAGATATTGGTTCCTTTTTTCAGTGAAAGTGTTTTGTTTTTGTTAAAATGATCTCCATAAGTGATTTTTAGTTTTCTTTTTCTCTTTTCTTAACTTAAAGATTTTTAATAAATTACACACTTTCTCTCTTTTTTCCACACTTACATATTAGGGCAAAACTGCACATTTGAAAAGATGGAAAATGTACGAGAGCAGCAAGAAAGACTTGCAAGACTTCATTTTGATTTAAACGCTCAGCAAGAAATTTATGGGTTGGTAATATATTTTTAGTTTGATATGGGTTTTATAACAGTGTGCATTACTTGATTAAAAAAATTGCATCTTAATTTTTATTGCACTGATAATGTATACTATGTAAAAGACAGGTTTATTGTACAAAAATTTCATAGTTCTTTGAATTGAGACATATTTGTTACAGTATATTATTAACCAATGTTTAGAAAATAGTTAAATTTATTAATAAAGGAAAATTATTAAATAATTATTAACCAAATACAAAAATATCTGTACATAAAAGCAATTCTTAGAAATTAGCAATTTTAAATGTAGCACTTTAGTTGTATATGTACATTCACACAGTCTTATTACCAGCTATTGCAAGGATAATTGTATAACATAATAAAATAGTCGATGACAAGTACAAATGATATAATAAAATAGTTGTTGATATGTTAATGTTAATCTATAATAATAAAGTGACCGCCATATCAGTTCACAAAATCGAAGATCGGTTGCCACAATTGACAAGTTTAATACCAATAATAACAGTAACTTGCAGTAATATTAACAGTAAAACTTTTAATAACAGTAAGATATTATATGATGCAATATACATAATCTTTAATGTGCACAATACGTAAAATTTTTGTAATTCTATGATATTTTTTAAAGCAAAAAAGGATCGCTGTGTACATGGGTAGAATAATAGTAATGTATCATATAGTATGTTTTATGTATCATATAATCCTTATTTAACAATTCAGATTTTTATTTTAAATGTTTCTTTTGGTTTTTCATTCGTACACAGCAGTCTGTTTTCAAGGTAATTGGCCTTGTTTGAAGGGCATTTTTAAAATGTTTGTTATATTTTTGAATTTATGTGGGTTTTTTTATTGGACTGTACTCGCACTGAAATATTATCACTACAAAAAGGGATTAAAAAATTCATTATTTTGTGAAATTTATGCAAAAAAAGTTTTTTTTAGATTTAAATTTAAAAAAATGAACCATCACTGACAAGAAAATAATGATGATAAAAACATATTTTTGACTTTATGTTATATAGCGGAGCATCACTGTATAACATTTCTTGTTTATACGTCTTTACATTTATGCGTAGTTTCATCTTGGTACGGATTCATTATTTTGCTATTTATTTTAATAACAAAATATTTCTTTTATATGTTATTTTTATTTGACTATGGCACTGATTTTATATTTCGCTATCTTGCAGTAAAAGTATTTTTCCCAGAAATGGGAATAGGACAAGTAAACAAAACCATGAGATGTTGCAGTCTAATACAGGAGTTGAAAATCAGTTTATGAGTAGAGGAGATATCTTGAAAGGAAAAATAGATATGGTTTCTTCTTTTGTACAGGATGCTGTGTTAAGTAAAGTAGGTGGAGCAGATATAAAATGTCACAAAAATGAAAGGCACTCTCCTTAAAAGATAAAATTCAAATCTTCAAAGAATTTGATAAGAATTGAGTTAGCTAAAAATGGATGTTCCTGTGACAACATTAAAAATGATAGATGATTAAAAAAATGTTGAAGAAAAATCAGGCATTTGTGGGTAATCTACATCAAAGAAGTTACAACTTCAAGAATGAAAGATGCCTAGGTTGAAGCCATTTGCTAAAATTTTCCATTCAGTGTCATGCATCTAGTAATCCATTGAATGGCCCCATGTTACTCGAGAAGTCAAAAGAAATAGCACTTTGATTGAATGTGAAGGAAGCTTGCTTTTCAACTGGATGAATGCATAAATTTAACACATTGATGGTGGTGTGGATATTAATTCTTCTTTTCGTGCGGTGGCGCTTGAATTAGTGTCTGTTTCATGGGGGTGGTGCAGCACCAAATTATACTGTTCAATTCTGTGCAGTAATACTACTATTAAAGTTATTTGTTTTGTATTGAATGTTTGATTATAATGTTAAAATGTTAATGTATACTGTTGAATAATTAAAATAAGGTAAAATTTTGTACTACGTATTTTTTATATACAAGCGTGACCCATCGGGACTCGTGCCGGCCCGTGGAACAGTCAAGCATGACCCACTGGTGGGCCAGGCTGCCCCACAAAACAGACAAGTATGATCTACCGGTGGGTCAGGTCAGCTATGGTTAGTTATGGTATGTTAAACTATGGTAGGAAATAACATGTCACATAATAAAGGGAGAATTAGAAATAGCTCCTACTGAGTCGCTGTATTAATGCTGCTTGAATACTTATATTAAAAATTGAATATGATTTTTTTATGCTGAAAATTTAAAGTGATTTTTTACTTCTCGTCTAGACAGCACACAGATGAAGGGCTCAAAATGGCCAAAGGAAATCTTTCCAAGTTAATGGAAAATGTATGTCCTATTTTGTATTGGTATATAGGTTTGAGTACTGAAAGGAACGTTTTTTTAATAGGTGATAATTTTAATTTGAAAACTTGCTTTCGTGTATGTGTTGTTTATCGTTACTAATAATAAAATAACAGTTGAATACAGAATAATTTTCTTTCAATTTGTTAATTTATAATTAAAGAGCTGCAAAATAGTTGATGAAATTTTCAATAGATTTCATTTGTTCTGCTTTGATTACATTTTGAATAAATTTCTTTAATGTTTCTTCTTCTTTGTTTCAGCTTCAGAAACTTAGTCTTTCCATGTATCCTTTTTTATGAAATAACTATGCATTTAATTTTCTTATTGAATTTTTTAATTCTAAATAATTAGAAGCATTAGTTATGTGATTGTTTTTAGTTGAGTAATGCTGCTGGAGCCAAATAATATATATATATATATATATTTTTCTTACTTTGATTTTGAGGATCTTCTACTATATTTAATTTCTTTAAAATGTCTTATGATAAATGTTTTTTATTAAATTTTACAGATTTAATTTGGGTAAAAATATGTAGTGGAATAGCACTTGATCATAAATTAAATTTTTTTGGTTCTCATACACTGTGTGTAGCATGATATTACCTGCTTGGGACATTTTTTTTCTATTTTTTCCTATGTGTAATGCAGCTAGTTTTTTTTTTTTTTTTTTTTTTTTTTTTTTTTTTTTTTGTGCATTGTTCCTTAAAAGATTCCATTATTTGAATCAGCTATGCATATTGGTTGTAATGCAAGGTATTTTAGGTAATACATTCTAATGTGTGATGTATAATATAAATATGTGTAACTGTATTCAGTTACTCTTTCAAAGTGAAGTAATATTAATTGTGTTTTTCTGTCTTTTGAAAAAAGATTTGCTGAACTCTTATCTTAATATTTGAAGAAAACTTTAAATCATGGGTAAAATGTAAGTTTATTTCTTCATAGAAAAGTTAATTCATCAGTTGAAGATTAATTGAAGTTTTGTCTTTCTTCTGTAGGACAGAAATGATCAAAATGGTGGGAACGTTTGCAAGTCATTCTTGGAGATTCTTTTTGACTTTTTCTTTTTTTTTAAATTCTACTATTGTTTTGGGAATTGGATCTTGTGTTTTGAGAAGTCTGAACTCTACAGCTTCAGTGCCGAACCAGAAAAATTTCAGTTTTATTTTTTATATCTTGTCTACTTATTTTTTTTTAATTTTCCTTCTACTAAATTCTAATTCATAATAAATACAATTCTTACTCTTAGGTATTCCTTCTGCAGATATTTCTTGAATTCTGTAACGAATTTCCTATTTGCATGGACTCCTGTGGCACATAATATAACTTACCTCTGTTATTTTAAAAATTATATCCAAAATGTACTTTGGAATTTCGGTTCCATTCAGTTCCAGTACTAAAAGGATCAAGTCTTTCAGTAGCCAGTGTGAAACAAGGCTGTTTTGGAAACAACAATTAAAAAATTTGAATATTTATGAAGTATTATTTCAAGTAATTATCACTATTTGCTTAGTTAAATTTTTTCCAATTATCCACATATTACAGTGAAACCGAACCAAAAAACCCTTGCTTTTAGATAATTTTGGTGATGCTTAAGGTTGCCTTTGAAATTGGATATCTGTGATACTCAGTACTGATATTTATTTATGTTGCCAGAAATTTTGGCCACTTTTATCTTAAGTCATAAAGATAGGTTTTTGTGTATTTTTTATCAATGTGCATGTTTTGTTATTGCATTTATTCTCAGCAAGTAGAGTTCAAATTTAATGATTTAAAAGAATATTATTATTTTTAAAACTGGGGAAATCTTGTCCAGTTTCAGAGGCCTACTTTTATAATTATTTAATTTACGGCTGTTACACCTCTTTCTGAATAAAATATTTCATTGAATGATAGTCAGATAACCCTTTTCTGTCAAACTATTTTTGGTACTTTTCCATTTTGCCAGCGCAGGCGATGAAGTCGGCAGTAATGGTACAACCGATGCCAAACGAAATATCCTCACTGGTAACCTTTTATGTCTCATTTTCAAAACAAGTCGCAGCCATTTCTTATCAGATTGATTGTTTCTTTCAATACTGGCATACAATTACATATAATTTTTACCAGATAGTTCAATTTCATGCTCTAAGGCCATTTGCAGTAATTAACTAGATTAAGATGCAGTCATACCCCTCACCCGAAGGCAAAAATATAGAAAAGGTTAATATAGAAAAGATCAAAAGTTAAATTCATCAATTGTAATGAGAATGTAGCGAAGTAAAACTCTGCGGTTTTACATAACTTCTGAGTAAGCTATTCGTACGAATTGAAATAATTCTTGCATTTAAACTTCTATTCCAATTTAAATTGGAATAACTTGAAATTACTGAAATTACTAATTTAACTTGAAATTAATGTAGATAATTACTGAGAGAATTAGATTTTTGTACCGTAGTTTATGTGAGACGACATCACTTGGGTTCACGTGATATGAACCGGCAAATCAGTATGTTGAACCATGAAAACATAGTAAATTCTTTTTACAAATTTATTGTCTTTATTGGCTTTTTACAAAATTTTAAACGATAAAATGTTTATGCCTTCAAAATAAAAAATTCTTAGAACTAACATTTTTTATGTGTATACTGTATGTTGCCGCCAATACAGTCTGCTTGGCAAGATTTGCGCCAGCGAAACAGAAAACTACCGTATTTTCTTGTAAAAATGTAGCTTTCTTGCATGTTTTCACATTCTGCTATATTTTCCAAAGGGTGATTTCATTTATAATTCTGTAAATGATTTATATCCATTTTTTCAAGTACAAATTTGAGCTTGAAAAGAAACTGTGAAGTTCTTTTACAAATTTGTCTTTTAATTTCATTGTCTGGAACCTTTCTAATTCTTCAAAATGCATGCTTAATGCCCTTAACGTAATAATGTTTTCCTAATTCATTATTGAATATGTTTCTGATCTCACGAAAACCCTCCGTAACTGTATGGGACAAACAAAATACATGTTGACTAATACAAAAATCTTGTGCATTTTCTAGGACGCATTCTGAAGTGGAGCATTGCACTGAAATCTGTGATATCTGGTCATTTTACATATTACTCTTGTGTTTAGATACACTGCCTTTTCTCTACTGGAAACAATAAAAAAAAAATTATGAAATATTGCAAGGCATTGCCAGCAAAATTTGTTGAACTTTCATGGCATCTAAAGTTCAATGAATCTATTTAAGTTACTGCTTCATATATAAGAGCAGGAAAAAAAGAAATGCCTTTAAGTAAAGTTATTCTGAAAGAGAAGAAAAAGGTAGAACTAAAGTTTTCCTTCTGAACCTGAAGGTTGTCCCTGTGAAAGGCTAAAGGCTGAAGTCTGTGAAATTTTTAAACCTAAGGCTTCTCTTTTTTGTGTAGGGGGTTCAGTTTTGAAACAAGAAAGAAATTCCTTGGGGCCAGGTCTGGCCAAAATGTCGGACAGAGGAGAAGATGGAATATAAATTTCTGAAAAGTCCTCTTAAAAGTCGAAGTCTTGTGTATTTGAACACTTGTGCTAAGGCAACACTTTTTTGTATAGCCATCACATTGAACTTATGAAAGAGTTGAGTCAAAGTTAACATAATAAAGCATCTGTTTATTATATGGCATAAAATAAGTAAGCAGTGAATGCTCTTCATCCCCTAAAATGGTGCTAAAAATCTTGACAACAAATTTCTGGATTCTAAACTTTTGAATTTGGAGAGATCCATTGAATTTTCTGAACTTGTCTTATTTTATTTCTGGGCCATAGTGATGAAATCACAGTTAATTTCCTGTTACTAGTAGTAAGTAAACACAACTTTCATCATAGCATAGAAAGCAGTTCTTTGGAACATTCGATTTGACATTTCATAATTTCTGACATCAACATTCTGTGTATCCATCTGCTGCTGATCTTCAACATTCCTAACTTAACATGCAGAAATTTTCTATTAATCTAGATATAAGGCCTATTTGCAAAGCAATCTGGAAAACTGTAACTTCTTTATTTTCCATAAATTTTCAATTTCGGGGCACATTTCTTCAGAGTTCATATTCTCACTGCAGCTTAGTTTGATTTTAATCATTAGGTGATTTTGTTTCACTGTCTAATCAGCCCACCATTTGACGAAGGCCTAGAAAAGGGCTGTATCGCACTGTATATAGATTGTAACCTTGCATCCATGAATATTTATCAATGTTATGCGTACTTTTATCAAGAATTCTGTCACCAAATGATGTTTGAAATTTTCAGTATAAATACATATCTTTACAATATTAAAAGCCTCTCAAATATGAAAAATCTGCTATGTGTGCTTTTCTTTTTATGCTTTTTAAATCATGGTACAATTATTTTATCACAATTTAACAACCTACAAGTATCACACATTATGTATGCTTAGAACTTATTTAACTAATACAATCAAACAATGGTTCAAAATTATCTCTAAGGATGGTTGTTCCATTATTTGGATCATTTCTGCCTCGTGAAATGGTGGCCAAAGTGCAGCTAATCTTCAGCAATATTACTAAATTTATGTTTCCCCATAACTTTATGTTTACAGTTTCCTTCAAGAGCTAAGATAAGAAAGATTTCAGTTGTTGTTACTTTGAAAAGGCAAGTAGTTTCAATAACTCAGTATTAACTGATCTTGATTAAATTTCTTAATACAGTACCTATTATGCCCTAAAACTCGGTGTGTAATAATCAAACTTTATGTAGTAGCACAACTAAGCCAAACTCTAGAATATTTTAAGTGTACCTATACACAGATTTATAAAAATTATAATTGTGAAACTGTTTCTGTACTTATATTTAGTAATTGCATCCAAATGTATTTGCTACAACACTGCTGATGTGGTGTAGTCTATATTAGTTGCTTTTAAAACCAGAGTTTAGTTTCTTGAGTTTTCTTTATAATCTATGCCTGTATAAGGTGTTTCTGTAAAAGGAGGAGAAGTTAGTTTTACAGTATATGCTTCTGAATAATTACTCATTTTATGTTTGAGACACTGTTGAATAACTAATAGAGAGAGTTTAAAAGTAGCACTAAACTTTCAAATTAAATTAATAATATCTTGTAAATAGGAAAGATTTAAAATATTTTTCTTATCATTTATCTCTAAGCCAGTTATTAAAAGATTTTTATAATGTGTTTATAAAATACAATCACTTGACTCATTAGTCATATCATTTAGCCAAGGAATTGCTAATATTTTCCTTTGATTGGCTTATCTTCTTCATGATACATCTTTATAATGTATCTATTTGTCAATACTTGGTAAAAACTTGCAATAACTTTTAGACTTGCTCTTCTCAAGTCACCTCCTAACACCATGAAAAGCTGACTGCATGTTCCCAAAACAGTTTTTTATTGTGATTAATAATGAAAATATCTTCTTTCATTGCAGATGAAAATAGAAAAAGTGTATGTGTGACATGATTTTTCCTTAAACAATAAATAGAGAGCAATTACAATCAGGTAGTTTAGGAACTGATGATGAAAAGTCATAAAAGTTCCCAAATCACATAATGAGTGCAACTTTATTTCATTGTATCTTTGTAGGATTTTTCTCTACACAGAATGCTATTTCAAACATTTATTTAGCTAATGTAAATAAGCAGTTTAGTCATAGATGGCTGTGATATAAATTTCTGAGTTTGTATACCAGTTTGTCTTGGGGTAAAAAAAATTTAACTGTTGTGCATCATTTTCAAAATATTTCATAGTTTATTGGCAAATTGCATGTTGACTTATATGGACAATCTCATTTCTTATATACCAACTAAATTGTATTTTTTATATTTAATATAAACTGTACTTTTTTTAAGCAACAGTTTATTCAAAGCATAAACTATTGTGGTACATAATTATATTATTTAATGAGCTTGATTAAAATGTTTGGATGCAATTTTATATTTTTCTAAAAATAGCTTTTCATTGTAAGGTTAAAAACTTTCAGTAATAAAGGTATATCCTTTCTCAGAAAGAGAAGTAGCTACTAATTTTCGTAATATTGATTAAATCTCTCATTATTTTTTTAAATAAAGAAAGTTAATTTATATAAGAAATTAAATTTATGTTAAATATTTATTTGTTATGCATTTGTATATTGTTAAAAAATGAAAGGATATAGTCCAGTTTTACAATGAGCTTCAGCTGAGCATTTGCTCAAAAATCATGTATTTGAAGCTTTTGACAGATTTTTGACATTCCATTTTGATGTTGAACTAATAATTATAAAATTTTATAAACCATTATATAGATTTTTGAAGAATGTCAGCCATCAGTTTGAGATAAAATATTATAAAATGAACTGAAATAATTTTTTTATATTTAAAGGAAAAAGTTTGTATTTATAAATATAATGACAAAATAAGATATTTCTGGGCCATTACATTAATCAAAATTTTCTTGCTGTGGATGTTTTTGATGTTATCCTCATTAAGGAATTTATTATTGGCTTTTTGCCCTTGTATTGAATTTTATGTCAAATGAGCTTTAATATATAAGTCTGGATTCTTTTCATTTTGTGATATTTTGTTGTTATTAAATGTTGTTTAGTTGCATTTTCTAGTCATAATTTATTTTATGTGATATATCTTCAAATTTAATTAGTATATAATATTATGATAATTATATTTTGCAAAATTTGCAGTCAGTCACTGCAGCTAATTTGGTGGTTTGTAAATTTTTGGTTGGTTTTAGTAAAAAAAAATAAGGCTTCAAAAATAATGCTTTTATAAAGTTTTTATATTTGCATTACCATAGTACAAGGGTGGTTAAACTGGCAGATCATAAGTTGCATGTTAAAGGATTTAATGTGTAATGTGTAGTTTGGGAAAATATGTAGGCCTCTTTTTTTTTTTTTTTTTTTTTTTTTGAAGGGGGTAAATTTAAAAAAAAAAAATATTAGGATTTTCCTAAATATGCTTTGGGAAACTCATTTAATGTTCATGACAAGTAAATATATTTAAAATCTGAAATCTTAATTTCTTACTGGGAGAATGAGCAATTTTTTTTTACGTTCTATTTAATAGTACCCTCGGTTTTAACATTCAGTAGAAAGGCTATCATTTCTAGTATACTACACGTAACAAAAACCAACTTGTACATGTATTTGAATGGTTATATTTAAGTCATTTTGGTGAGTATCTATCTGCCTTAAAATTGTGAATATTGGCCATACAGATCTCCCCCCCCCTAGAAAGTTTCTTGTTGCTTATAAAATGCTTCTTTTATTATTATTTTTAAGCAGAGCAGTATCTTTGAGACAAAAAGGTAACTAAATAAACATTTCTTGCTAATTAAAAAAACAGCCAGTGAGTTGCTAACTTTGCATGGAGCTGCAGATAATCAGAACATATCACAATTTCAGTTGAAAAAGAATTGTAAAAGGTAGTACTGGTAAATCAATAGTTATACAAGCCAAAGATTTGGCCAGCTTTCCTATAAAGAAAAATTTAGTACATACACTTTTGCATATATGCATAGTTCTTGATGACTGCATATTATTTTACATGAACCTTTGAGGTAAATTGCTGCAGCTCATAACTTCTCAGTTATAAGAGGACTTTTAAACTTGGGACAAAACTTTCCAGCTCAGGCCTTTGGTTTCGAAAGTAAAGAATGCTTAACTTTCAACACATTATCCCCGAGTTTAAAGTAGTCCCTTATGCTTTTTATTATCGTGGCATAATTTCTCTTTCGTGTGGGCTATATCTGAATTACTAGGTATTTAATTCACTATGTTCAAACTATCATTCATTTAAAATTTATTTTTCCTGTTTCCTAGTAAGAGCAGTTTAATCAGCTTCCAGCCCAACCTCATGAGTGGGCATATGGTTAAGTTTACTGAATACTAGTTGTTCGACCCAGCTTCAGACTAAACATAGGCTTTTTGCATGGTTAGTTTTCTTGGTGTTTCCATCTTCAGCGTGAACAGGAGCCAGTTTCCTACAAGATAATTCTCCACAAAGGCATCTTTCCTCTTAGGCAGGTAGCTTTTAAATGCTTTGCAATGTTCAAATAAACCCAGCTCCCTGCCCTAAAATAATTCTATAGTTCCCCTCCCCCATTGTGTTTTCCTTAATGTGTATATGAGAGTTATACCAACACGAATGGTAATTTTTTATGAAACTGCAGATAATTTAAGTTATATTTCTCTTTATTGTTTTGCAATATTTCATTGCGTTTAATAATAGATGATTTTAAAATGCTTTGTATCCAGGCCCACACATATTGCTTCAAAATCTGACTCATGAATTGTGAACTATTATCAGATATTTAAGTATTGCTCCATATTTTAAGACAAACTTGTTTAAAAATGTGTTTATAGTAGTTTTTGCAGATACTTTTTGTAAGAAAAATATGTCTAACTATTTTGAAAAGTAGGCAACTATTATTGGTAAAAATTAGTTTTTATTTAATCTGACACTGGGGCAGGGTCAAATCAATTCTGGCAATTTCATTAGCGAGCCTTTTTTTTTTTATACTACTCATATACCGGTCCAGGCTAATGCTCCCATTAATGTTGTTAATTAACTGCAATAGAGTGACGCATTTTTCGAATTGATGAAAACAAACTGCTTCCCTCACCCTCCGCACTGTTATTTATTTATTTATTTATTTTCTATGCTTAGATGGCTTGATAATAATGCATCGTGTAACTTTTTCTAAATTCCTAATTTTAGATTTGCTGGGATAGCCATCTGTATTTTCATGTTTTGATTTATGACCTTTGTGTCTTTAAAATTTATGACCTTTTTGTCATCAGTAGTTATCAGCCCTGTTTATAATTTTTATAATATGGGTGGTTTTAATAGTTTGACAAAAAGGTCTGTGTTAATTAATTGTTCACCAACCTTGTTCATAATTTCTGCAGTATTGAGGTGTTTGAGATTATTAAAATCATTTACTACTCTTATGCATAAATATTTTTGATTCAGAGTCTGTCTTCATTTTCTTTATAACTATCTCTGAAGAAGCAAAAATTTTCTAATTTCCTTGATTATTTAATTTAATTCTTGATAGCATCAATCACAACACTTTTTTCACAGCTGTATGTTTATATCTAAATACTCTTGCTATTTGAGTGCTCACCTTAACAATCTTGGGAATAGGTTCTTTCATGAATACAGGTGAAGGATCACAGCATGGTCCATATACACTGTTACTCTTTCCTAAATTACACTCTCTTACTAAATCTTTCCTAAATTATACTCTGTTACTATCTCTTTCCTAAATTACACTCTGAAATTCTGAATAGTAACAAGGTCTCTAAAGTCTGTTTTTCGATAGCCATGGAATTTTTCTTTAATGTGATTGACTAAATTTAACTTGAATATGCAACTGACTTATCATTCTGCATAAGTACAGCTCTTACAACAAAATCAGACATGGCTGCAGCTACCTGCCATCGGCCTTCTAAACCAGGAAATTTCAGTGCTGGAGTTTGTATCACCTCTGCTAACCAACTATGTGCTGCCTTCTCCATGGAACATTATAATTATATTTACTTCCATATCCATTTCTGGCTGATTTTCAACTTTTGTATTTCATCATTAGCTGGAGTAATTGTCCTAATGTACCAGGATTTCTCATTTCTGTGAAGTTCTACATCTGCAGTATGGAATATTCAGCTGAATGTCTTTGCCATTTAGCTTCCTTCCATATACTAACTTTACAATTTCAACTTTTCATAATGCTAAGAGAGTCAGTTCTTCTTCTACCATCTGATATTTTCCTGATAGTTCCAATTCCACTTGAATTATATCGCTTTCTCCAAGATATGTTTTAATTACCACAACTTAATTCCAAGAAACTGTACATCTTAATGCCAGGTTCTTCTAAAAGACATTTTCCAAGAGGGCCTGTTTGTAGAAAACTGATGCTGCTGCTTTTATCTTTTTCTGCTCCGTAACTGAATACAGTAGAAAGTGACTTTGAAGCTCTTCCATAAAATTTAAAAAACTGAGCTCCTACCTAAAAAAGTATGGTTGTGTTCACCTTCTAACATTTCTCAGCTAGCAATTAGCAGGGATTAAACTAAAGCTTGCAAATCTCCATGCATACTTATCTGTAAAGGTTCTGTGAAGACAGTCAGGTGACTTATTGCCCTATTTTAATATTTTATTAAGGGGAAATATTCTTCTGTTTTGTAAGTAACATCAAACAGAAGAATGTTTAAAGTAAATATTTTCATTAGTTTGTCATCTTAACCGTTATACAGTCTAATTTGCACACTTTGTGGAATAACAGAAAGGAAGTTTAAAGTAAAATTTACCATATTAAATTTTCAAGGCAAGGCATACCTACAAGCTTTGGATAAGCCTCTCAGACTCTGGTGATTAATTACAGCTAGCAAGGTTAAAACCGATTTGAATAATTCAGACCCTGGGAGAAATAGTAGTGAAGCAGCTAGCAGTAGTTGACAAAAGCTCTCTCACAAATTCTGTGCTTAAATACATAAATCAAGTTGCACTCTGGTGATAGCTAACAGCATTTGAAATGAAAGCAAAATAAGAACTTACCATATTTGATGGCATATAAGACGCACCCTTATTTAGAAGGCCAAACACAAGGAAAAAAAATTACAATAGACCACAATAACTTAAAATGGGGTTTCTTTTAGTTCTCACGTTTCATAAAAGCCAAATAAACTATCATTGAATGCAATTACCAAACATATTTTTATTAAGGAAAATTAACAATGGCAAGCTATTTTGAACATGATTGTAAATTTCAATAATGAAAAAATGAATGAACAGCAAGCAATCAAACATAATACAAAATAAATCAGAAACAAATACAAAAAATAAAAAATAAATAATAAAAAAATAATAAAAAAAAAAAAAAAAAAAACAGATTCAAGGAAAACGTTGCCTATTATGAAATTAGACACTTTCAAAACCATAAAAATCCTTTTCACTATCATCATCATCGAAAACGACAACGTCATCATCACTACTGTTTCCATCATCGCTAGTATCACCTTCTTCGAATAATGCGTCGTCTTCTGTTCCGTCAAGAGCATTACTGATTCCACACTTCTTAAAGGACTTAACAATTACTTCAGCCTTTACGTCCTCCCAAGATCTTTTTACTCACTCCCACACTCGTGAAGTAGAGGGCCGCTTCATTCTGTGTGAGGGCATGATGTGGCTCTCCTATCCACTTGTTCCATCGTTCTCGCACTTTTTCCTTAAATGGCTTATTCACCGATGCATCTAAAGGCTGTAATTGGCTAGTCAGTCCAACAGGAATGACAGCTATCTGGGTTTTTAATTCTCTCGCTTTATTCTTTATGGTTTCAGTTCTATGGGCACTAAACTGATCCAAAACCAAAAGAGAGGGTTTTCTTAAGAGTCCACCAGGTTCACCTCGCCCATACATTCTGTAACCACAGTTTCATTCCAGCTTCGTCCATCCAGCCTTTTGGATGAACATGAACAATTACACCCGTTGGAAGTTTTTCTTTTGAATATGAAAAACGGCAGTAGTTTTGTGCCGTCAGCGCAACATGTTAGAACTACTGTATATCGGGTTTTTATGGTTATTGATTTAGACC